CTTCTTGTCTATCTTCTACACATGTTATAGTTTCGAATCCGTTTTTGATCTATATCTTTGGCATTATTGTGAAGATTTCTTGCAGATTGGTAATAGTGGTTTTCTAAAGTGTATTATCTTGAAGCATCACTTCACTGTTGTGTTATTTATCGAAGTTTAATGTGTTAGTAGGATCAACGTAAGTGTAATTTCCTAGGTATTTCTTTTCAAGTTCAGCCATTTCCTCGGTGTACATTTCTAGCTTTCCACGAAACCAATCATTTCTGCTTAGTGTAGCGTTGTTTGTATGGTTCTGACACCAAACTCTTACAGGTGGAATTTAAATTGTTTGCTGCCAAATATCTGGAAATATCATCTTCCTCAACCCATGGTCTGGAGCAATATTTCTGATTACCACTTAAGTCATCAACGTTGCAAATTGTTCTGCAATCACCGTAATACATACCTCATGTGTACATGGTCCATCATAATCAGTAGGTGGCGGTTACTGCCAGCTGTCTGAGTAGATAAAACTGTTACAACAGTACGACTTTAAAGGCCAACCTAGCAACTGCTGAGATAACCAGTTAGGCTGCTATATTTTATGAAAAACTACCTTTCTATCTGGAATACAAAAACCTGATTGGTTGTTTCCTCAGTTACTAGGGTGGACCCTAAAGTCACCCGTTACATCTACTGATAATTTACCTACTACAGCTCCGATGGGATTTGCATGTACCAGTCACCTTCCATTAACTGACCTTGTGAACAGTCGAACGTATAATCCACAATGTTATCTGACATGCACTGCCGATGTGCACTTTTCCATGAAAGTGATCCACTGTTCTGGCAACTTGCAGCATCTATGATTTCTCCCGTAGCTCAGGTATTTTGGAAACGCCGCCATCCAATTCCCTTCATCAACCCACCCTGTAAGAGCTCTGTAAGTAGTTAAATGTAACTTTTCCTGCTCATGAAGAGTGTCTATATATTCCTATTCATCAGTAGTTGTTTTGTTTTTCTCCCCTCATTTATCGTTTGCATCACTGACCCAAAGGTAGTATCTCACTTAAGATCATGAAAAGTTTTAAGTAGTGTTGCTCAATAAGCATTCATACCACATAGAATCTCCATTGGTTTTGTTTCGCCATCTGGTTCAAACAAAAGTTCAGCTGACAGTTTTTCTCTCCCTACCACGTGCCCGCTTGTAAAACAGTACTTTCTAGGTGCAGCACCCACTATGATAAGTTTCATCGGGTTTGCTCACTGTCTTTATTTACTGTGAGGGACTTGTAATCAGTCTTGATTAGGAACCACCGAATCAGCAAACGAAGTCTGGAGCTCTACAGAAAGCAAAATGTGGTTATTCACCTTTTTAGATCGTTTTAAAACATAGCTGGGGTATTCATTCTGTCCTAATACTAAGCCTACTTATTAACCACTGGTACAAATGGACACCATATATGGCATCCCGGTGAGGAAGCAATAAGGTAATCTGCTAATCATTTCGGTTACTAAACACGGGTGAATGTTTCCTATACTTCCTATTTTAAATCGAATTTTGGGGTAATTCGTGGCTTACACAAGGGAGCTTTTACGTCACTGGAGCCCATACAGAAGCGACTGCAGAATACCATTACCCTTGAGAACTATCTTAGCTTCCATTTAGAAGTCTATGCAGCAATAACTTTCGTTGACATACTCTTCTACGGCATGGGGTTACACTACTACTTTTAACTTTTCTCCATAAAAATTCAACGTTTCATTTTACTACCCGAATTTGTATTTTGTCATTCTACAAAACGTCCTTCATTATGTCTTAGCATAGTTTCCTAGGTGCGCTGGATTGTTATTTTATGACTAACTGTACATCACCAAATTGTCTCTTTAAGCCAACATGTCTCCTAAATTCCTAAGTATTAAGGACACTATTCGTCTAAACATGAATGCTTTAACTTTCCACTCCAAAAGGTAACTGTGTGAAGAGGTTTCTTTCTGTTCAAAAGGTGGTCTCTATTATTTTCTGCATCACTTTCTCACTAGGATTTTCTACCATCTCAACTGCAGTACCAGAAATATTTATAGTTAAGCACTCTTTTGCTGCTTCAATGAATCTAGTATAAGTGGTTTCACTTCAACTAAACTGTTCGTCTCCGGTGACCAAATAGTTTGCTTAGTTCAGTCCTACAGGAGTTCAAGCGTGGCCTAAATATTACAGTGGGAGTATCTCAGAGTCCATCACTTGGTGAAGAGGATTTGAGCATCCAAGATGAAATCAGCTTCTGCAAGATCACAGGCACACCTTGTTGACGAGTGCCAAGAAGTACGAAACCTAGGTTCAGATCTTCTTGCTGACTGCTTTCAATTAATCAACATCTATCAAGTGGCGCCTCAATGTTAGGTCTCCTACTGTGCTGGCCACAAGTCAGAGTGATCTATGGAGTTTGATCAGCACTCAAGACTAGACAAAATGAAAGTGGTTGTCCTCCAGTAACCAAGGAGTTTACAGAATATATACTTCAAGCTGGTTAGTATCACCTTCAGAAATAGCAAACCATATGGGTTATCAGATTCTTCATGATTAGCCCATTCAGCATCTTCCTGACATGTTTCTCAACTTTCGTTTTTGATCACATCTTACTCGATGCACTGAGAAGGTCAGCATTCACTGGTTTACTACCAGAATTTCATGTCTCACGTTGCTGCAGTAACTATAGTGGTCTCTGTTTCTGTTCTACTCCTTTACCAACTCCATAATGTTTAGTCCATCCTCGTGGGATATTTTAAATATCTATGCATTTTGCACCTAATTTAATTTTGCAAAAAAACTGTCACTACTCCCAAAGAGTCGAGGCCTATAATTACTTATTTTATACAAGTGGTAACAGTGAACCCTGAACTTCATCGATGCATTCGGACACCCTTGGAATATTCAACGCATAGTTGTTCATCATCTGAATTGTCAGTGTTCGTGGTACTATGCTCTGAAGTTGGGTTCTGCCAATGGGGGAAACTATTAACCCAGTGTTAACTCAGCAAACAACATTGCAGTAAAATTATCATAGTCTAACTAACATTGTCTTTCTGTCTGTTTTCTTTAGACCAAAAAATCAACAAATCGAAATATTTTATTATCTAAATGTTTGAAACAGTGATAAACCATGTTTTATATTATTTGTGTTTGATTGTAAAGAAAAATGAACTGATGAAAAAAGCATTGCTCAGATTCAGCTTATCTGTTATCGGTAACTATGAAAACGATTGAGCAAACACTGTTAATTCAAACGAAGATATATTTGTGTCTTACGTAACTATTATTACTTTAATATGCAACACTACCCATTATTTATACTTCCCATATGATAAAAGTAGTTCAAACCTTTCAAATATGAAAATACCAATAAAACAATATAAAAGTAGATCTTCCAGATGGTTTTTCTGACTACACTACCATTTTATAGATTACTTTAAATTTATTAAGTAGTCATAATTTGCTTATTAGAATGGTCATGATAAACAGCTGGGGGTTGCAATTTTCAGATGTACTTAGTGGTAACCTTGATTATTTGGCAGTCCATCACTTTCAGTCATTACTGACATTTCTGAGAGTTGATAAATTGCAGTTACCACCGAAGAGTAGTTTAGTTTGTAGTATTCTCTTATTTGTTTGCTTTTGGATCCTGACAATTTTCTTTCCCATAAGATTGTAGAAGATATAGTAAGATCCAGTATGCATAGAGTATAAAGTGCACTTCTGTTTGGATTACTCTTTTTAAACACAAAGGTTGGAAAGCAATTTTCTCATTTCTATTTTTCGTTCAACCAAATGATTACTCCATAAAATACCTTTTTCTTGAATCGTTCATTGCTAACTTACCATCTAGGACTCACAGATTCCTAATTTTTACTAGGATAATTACGTAATCTAATTGCGAAGTGTATTGTCTTGACAGAGTTGCTGATGTAATCTAGGGGAAAGAAATAATGTACTTCCTCTTGGGTATAACTTCGTACTCGATGTGTGTGTTAGGTGCCATTTATTGGCTGTGGTCGTAACGATGTAACTACACAATCTAAAAACTAGTGTGGTTACTAATTTCTTATTCCAGCTTATTTAGTAGAGCAATTAAAGTGGAAGGTGAATTGTTATGCATGTCACTGTTTAGTTGGATTCAGGTCGATGGGTAAAATGCTCCATTTTTAGAAAAAAATATTCTAAAATAAGATTTTTTCCTGTAGATGTATAGCAAACAAATAGTTATCTAAATAGGCGTACATCTGATGTTTATCTTTAAGTCTCTATCGACAGACCAGCAATAACGTAGGCTTCAGTTCAACATCAGTGATTTATATGAGATAGCTAGGTTTTGAGATGTAGATGTAAGATATAAAACTGATGTGTTTCAAACTAGACGTACTAAATTTTTATCCAAGGTGATTATACTGGTTCTTAGACAACTTTCAGATACTTTATGAAGGTTTAAAACTGAAGCACTTCGTTATTTGGTCAGTATAAACTTGAATCATCTACACTTTGAGTTAATCTGACTTTAAACTTATTTTGGTGTTATACATAAATGGCAAATGGTTGGTATGTAATATGTTTCAAGATTCGATAATCAGAGACAAAAATTCTTGATGCACTACTTCTGCTTTTGAAATCTGGTTGGATGACGAATTTGTGACCACCTCAAAACTTGGACACACAAAGTGAAGGCATCATGGTATTCTGATAGACTTGGTGTTTGATCTTAGACTTTTCCTTATCACGCTAGTTGACTTCTTCCACTTGATGAAGTTGATTTTTCTGATATCTAAGAGCATAACACTAATTAAACTAAGATAACAGCGAAACAGTTGTGATCATCATCAATAGTAAGTCATGTATCTTTTACGAACAGTTGTTCTTTCTTTTTCACTGGTCGTTAAGATAATTAGGAACCAATATTTAGCAACACTGCAAAAGTACACCATGAGTTATAGTTCATTCTAATAAATGATAACAACTAACAGAAACTTACAAGATTTTTCTCAAAGTTATCTGCTGAAGAGTCTACAAAATTCACTGTGTACACAGAGCCGCATAATGCTGTAGTTATGGAATACACTTCGGATTGATTATCCATTTCATCAAGATCACCTGTCGATGGGATAAGAAAATATACAGAACATTTGTAGTCCTTCTTAAGATGGCCTGTTCAACCAAAAAAGCAAAAAGGAAACTTCAATAGAGATTTTATCAAACACTGATATATATTTCAATTAGCTACTGAATACTAAATAGCGTCAGAGAACAGTTCGTCCGAGATCTAACCCTGTACATCCCTAAAGTTAGTCAAAAACCTGTATTATATGCAGTAATCAAATCTATTTTTCGTCATAAAAATAATGAATGAAGAAAACTTCTGACCTATTTCTGCTTGGCTATACGAAGCACAGTAAGAAGATGGCATATGGGAATTCTATCTTCAACATAAGATACAGTACACAGTAAACATCCTTGAAGATTTTATGAGTAACATGAAACTCAGGTTGGTGATCATTATAAACTGATATTATCTAAAGAACCATTGGGAGCCTGAAAGCACTGGACAGCTGTTTCAACTTAACATGGGACTCCTTAGCAGTACATACCAATGGCTCAACCAAGGATCGAACCAAGAACCTTCAGGTTCTGTGACTAGCAGCTTATCATCGAGCCACTGAGTTGCTGGTGGTCACTTGACCACGGATTGTGGAGGTCCTAGGGTTTGATCATTGGCAAGGCCGCGGGTGCTCTTTTTTGAGTAGTCCCATGCTAATACGAAACAACTGTCTGGTGATCATAGGTTTACAATGGTTCTTCAAGTGATGTAAATCCGTGATGAAATCAATAAAATAATAAATCCCCACAAACCTTCAAAATGAATAATATGAAACTGCTTTTCAGTCTGGCATCTGTTTCGACATTAGTTAGCGATACTATCTTACGAGCTGTAACAAAGTTAATATCAGAGATAAGTAATAATCTCAGTGTAATAAACTTCAGAATTGGCCATTGACCCGATGAAATCCTTAATGAGTATTATGGATAGTATGTTTGTTGTCCAGGATGATCAGTGATGACTGGTTTTGTTCACCTGGATTATTCAAAAAGGATGAACCGCTTTTGTATTTCTATCGAGGTGATGAGTGTACAACAGACACAAGAATGCTCGGAGTTCGCTTGTTAACACGCTATTTCATCGGCCATCGGGCCATTTTTAATCATATCAGTCTAGTAAAGCGAAGCTAGTTCAGATCGTCTGCCCAGCAGTCAGGTATGACGCTAATTTTTCCTTTTTCAGCTGGATTTGTATCTAAATGCGAAGTCCCGACTGAGTAATTATGCATCACACATTTACAGGACAACCAGGAGAAATCTTTGGTGACTGAAGGGAATTTAAGACTTGGTTAGCGGATAAGTTTCATAGGTTGATTGGTATAACGCTGGGATAGCACTTCGGAGGCCAATGTTTTGAATCCTACCAAGGTCCAGGTTTTTCATTTCACTTTCATTGATGACTTTATGTCAATTATTTTATCAATTTTATTACTTATAAGAGACTGATTACATAGGTTTATCATTACGTTAGAATTCTTGTGTATTCTATTCCGTTTTGAATAGCTTAAACAATTTCACTTTATGTTTCTGTGTACATTGAAAAAAGGCTTTTTAATGAACTGTCAGCAAAGTTTTTCAATCTGAGATCACGGTTGCAAAAGCAGTCTACCTGATTTTCAGCGGATTACACAAATCAGTCAATATGTAACTGAAATAATGGCTATGCATAAAATCATAATTTTGAAGACCATCTTAGTAACCTCATGAAATACTTTGGCATTATTAAGACACCCAGAATAAGCTTGAATAAGCCGATACAACTTTCAAAGTCAAAGACGTCTTCTTCAGTGTACACTAGTCGAGAAGCATTCACATTAAAACTCACTTTAGGAGTTTACTGACGTACATATTTTGATCAAGTTCTCACTTACCTCAAAATGTAGGCTAAATGAATTTAGACAGTAGTATTTTGTGTGTTGTAGTCAGTTAGCGGTTGGTCGATGAAATTTCCTGTTTACGAGAAAAGCGATGGTCATCTATGACATAATGTACACACATAGGAAGATATAGAAATCACTTCATTTTAATTCCTCGATGATGGTCTGCACAACTTATGCATTCAGTATTTATCTATGTTTCATTAGAGAATTCACTACAAACAAGGAGAGATGCATATTGCATGTAGATATATACACAATTCATTACCATAGATACTGTCTAGACGACAGACAATGCATTTTTTATTCAAAAACTACTTTCCATTGTTTCAATGCATATGTATGCACAAACGGTTTGAATATTTATTTTATTTTATTTTTTCGTTTCGCTTTGTTTCTTTTGCATCCTCTCTGACTGAACAAGCTACTAAACATGTTATAAATTTAGTTCAAGACTATACTGTTGAATATATATATATATATATATATATATATATATATATATATATATATATATATATATATATATACATGTATAACTTAATGAAGAGTTATGATCAACAGTATGTCGGTTAGCGTTAAGTCCACCTTTAACTAAAAGGTATTTTTTATTGATTTCGGAATATAAAAGTTTAAATATTGAAAAATGTCGACATGTAGTTTGTTTTAGTTCTCAGCATACCTACACAGAAAAATTTATTTGTGTGAATATCTACATGTGCACATATTTGAACACCAGTTGTTCAGTCATAATATTCGCTACTGAGTTTCATAATCCCAATGGATAGAGTTATGAAAAAAGAATAATTGTAAAAAAGAACAAACTGGATACGAAAAAAAAGAAAGATAAAACTAGCAAAGTTTAAAATATATCTTCTTTCTTTTTTCAATTTACAAGCAAGTTTCTAAGAAAAATTCAGTATATAAACTGATATTATTACGGATAATATAACATTTATTACGTTAAACTGAGCTGCCTATCTTTGAAACACATAAAAGGAATGAAATCATTTTGTATTCCGGTCTTTCATTTCAATGAAGTAAACATGGAAAACAAGGAATAAGGTCTGATTGTTTCATTTTCTACTTTTCGTAATGATTGACAGAAATGGTTTTATGTGGACATAAAGATGATAGAATTGAAGAAATTATTTTTAAGAGCTTATTATACAAGGAATATACTTAGGTATAGAGCCAATTTAGTTCGTCAAAAAGTTGGTATATTCGTGGTCAGTTAGATTTAAATTCAATAAGGATACACAGACTCTTCTATTTTCCTTCGAATGAACTGTGACAGGGCACTACATGGAGTTGAATTTTAATCCAGAAACAAGTGCTGTATTCACACTTATTTCGAAAATCATCAACGCAATAGATCAACAACCTTAAGGAAACTGATGTTCAAGTGCAGAATAGGTTCTACAGAATTGGACAGCATGATTACGGCATATTCAATGATGTGACTGATGATGATGCTGAGTAATGAGTTTTTTACACAACGACTTGGTTATCAGAACTAGTAGGTAAGAGACGTGATGTGTAGGTAGTTAGAATAGTAAGAATACTAACTGCAGCACCAGATGATGGCGTAAATCTCTGAGGAAGGAAAAAGAAAATGCGAGACAAGGAATGGATGTCGACTGCACACAAGATCAGATCAAGAAGAGAAGCAGATGTAGGTTCACACCACTCACTCACTCACTCACTCAATATGTAGTGCGAGGGAACTACCTTCAAAATCAAGTTGGAAGCCTTCATCGAAGTTGATGATAGACGCAAACAGTTCAAGTTGAACATCCAGAACAGAAACTGAACTGAAGGACGAAACTACGAAGGAAATCTTCACATAAGCCAGCCATCAAGACAAAATGGGAGGCATTGAGCATCATCTGTGAAGTAACCTGTGTGGAAGAACACTGGAACTCTGTGGAAGAGACGTGTAAGGAAACCTGGATAACGGTGTTAGGAAGGAAAAAGAGAATGCGAGACAAGGAGTGGATGTCGATGGACACATGGAAGCTGATAGAGGAGGGAGAGGAAGATGGTGAGACAGAAGATAAAGCAGTGCAGTGCAGTGCAGTTTAGAGATGAATAATGAGAAGAGGAAATGAACACAACGTATGAAACACTGCACTGGACAAGGAAATGAAGAAGAGTGTGAGGATAGACAAAAGACACTTGTGAGAAGCATTAGTAAGTGAAGCAGAACAGGCTGCAGGTAGGAGAGAGAGAGAGAGAGAGACGCCTGACAACACCATATCAAATAACCAGGTTACTACTATCTGAGAGGGGAGTGATCAACGCAGACGAAACCAATGAGAGATAGTGAAGGAAACTTAATTACCTCCAAAGAGGAGAAACAAGGGAAACGATGGGCTGAGGACCACAAGAACTCTTGAAACGACCGCCAACAACATCAACACCTGCAACTCATCCAGAAATACCACCAGCAGTGCGGAACTCCATGGAGATGGTGAAGACGGGGAAAGCAACAAGACCAGATGGAATTCCTCTACAAGCAGTGAAAACAGATGCAGAGACATCAACAGCGGACATGCTCACACCACTATTGCAAGAGGTTTGGAAGGAAGGAATGAAGGGAAGGTACCTGCCAATTAATTGGAAGAAGGACTACCTTGTCAAACTCTCAGAAGGGAGACCTAAGTATTTGCAAGAACTGGTGCTGAATCATGCTCCTGTCCACCCACACTAAGCAAAATATTATGCCGCATCGTCCTGGAGAGACTGATTGATGTGCTGGATTCAAAATCACGACGGGAACAGGCAGGCAGGCAGGCTGTCTGGCTGTCAGGCTGGCTGGCTGGATGGATGGATGGATGGATGGATTCAGGAAGAACAAGTCATGTGTGAATCAAATTACAACGCAATGCATCATCATAGAACAGAGTATAGGATGGTAGTCAACTGGATCTTTACCTCAACTTCACCGACTGCGAAAGGACTTCGACATCGTCGATCGAGAAATAATTTGTCAGGCAGCTGCTTCAACACTACGGTTTTAGTGCCACAAACCATTATCAACCTCGTTCAACAGAGACTGTATGATGATGATGATGATGATGGTGATGCTACATGCCAGGTGATT